TTAAACTTGGTAAAATAAATGTTTTTTAACCAGATTTCTTCTTGGAATTTGAAACAGTTGATCCCACAAGAAAAACTTACAATGGTGAGGCATTTCTTCTTCTTTAGGTTAATGGAAAAGGGTCAGTAAATGGCTGATAATTCAAAACAGCAATTAATACTCAAAAGCCATCTACAGTTATTTTTAAAATACATTTTTAAATTTATGTAAACTATGAGTATGGTTTTTGGATCACTTCATTCAATTCATATCATGTTCAGTGGTATTTTTTTCTAAATAAATTAAGCTTTGCCCTGTGTTGTAACTTTTCCATTTTAATGACTTTTATTGGGAAAATCATAAAAGATTTATACTCCTAAACAGAGATAGGCAGCTGAACATGATTTAATCTTTTGTTGATAACTCATGAGGCATTGCTCAAGAAAAATAGTCATTGTACAATCTTACAAAACAGTAATGACCTGGGGGCCAGCAGTAGGCAGAAAGCGTCTCTCCTGAGCAACGCAGACCCTGGCTTCCTTGCTGTGCTTTCTCCTCGGTCCCATCAGCTCTGGCCTGTGCTTTGTGGCTTAACATGTGCCCCACTAGTGTGCCCTTTTGTCTTTCTAAAGCCTGAGAGTGGCTTATATGCTCAGATAGTGTGGAGATGTTCTCTGTGACAGAAGTTTGCTACTCAGAAATTCTGTCCCTTTTTTCCAGGTTTCAGGCTATAATCCAAACAACTGACCTTGTTGGGAACGATTTACTGGGGAGGAACTAACTAGCACACTGCCCAGATACTAAAACCTGCCTCCTAATCCATTCCCCTCATCTTCAGTCTGTGCAAAATTCTTCCTATAGAATTCCAGAACGAGAGTTCACATTTATATGGTGCTTATTTTCTTGCAGGCACCAATCTAAGCCCTTTTACATCAGTCATTGCATCTTTACAATTCTCAGGTTATAGCCAATTTCCAAAGGATGAAAGGGAGCCACAAAGATAGTGAAAGTAGTGCCTAGCAAGTGTTTTTAAAGATGTGATAATAAAGTATAAGTACCATAGATCTATGGTAACTGGAAAGCAAACCATATTAATACTTTATTGTGAAATGATCCTGGGTTCCAAATTCTAATGGTTAAGAACACTGATAAGCTGGAGGTGATCACAGGGCTGAGGCTGGGTCAGCTGAACCCAAACCCAGATGTCAGTTCTCAGCACATGGCCACAGAGGACAGAAGGGAGGGCACAAGGATGAGCACTTGCTCTGAAACACAGCCAGTAAGGAGACTATCACCCCCAATCCTATAACCCACGGAGAACGAAATAACCCACTCAAGCAGATAATAAGTACACATCAGTTCCTATTTTAGAAATGGAACCACCCTGGACATCATGGGGTTTTGGGGTGGTATTTTTTTTTGTCTTTTAGTTCAAAATTTTAAAGAACTTCATTGAGGTGTAATTTATATACCAAAAAAATTCTCTTGTTATAAACATACAAATAAATGTAGTGACTTACAAACTTCTATAGCTATTACTACAATCCAGTTTTAGACCATTGCATCACCCCAAAAGTCCCCTTATCCCCATGTGCGCTTACTCTCCATTTCCACCCCTAGGCCCTGGCAACTGCTCATGTCTTCTCTATTAATTTGCTTATTCTGGACATTTCATATAAATGGGAACATACAGTCTGTATTATTTTGAATCTGGCTTCTTTTACTTGGCATAATGTTAAGGTTCATCCTTGCTGTATCATGTATCAGAACCCCATCCCTCCATCAGTACTTAATGTATATACATACATTTTATTCATTCATTTGACTGTTGATAGAAATTTGGATTATATCAAATGAATAATGCTGCTACAGATACTCATGCACAAAGCTTTGTGAAGACATATGTTTCCTTTCTCTGGGGTACGTATGTAGGAATGGAATGGTTGGGTCCTACGGTAGTTTTTCAAAACGAATATGCCATTTTATATTCCCACCAGCAATATATGAGGATTCTAGTTTCTGCACATCTTGGACATACTTGTTACTTGCCTATGTTTTTGATGATGGCCACCCTAGTGGGTGTGAAGTGGTATCTCCTTGTTGTTTTGATTTGCATTTCCCTAATGGCCAATGATAGCGAGCTTCTTTCCATGTGCTTTTTGGCCATTTGAGTATTTCCATTGGTGAAATGAGTATTCAAAATTTTGCTCATTTTTCAGTTGAGTTGTCTTTTTATTATGGAATCACAATGTGTGTATTCTAGATACAAGCCCTTTATCAGACATATGGTTTCCAAATATTTTCTCACAGTCTGGTTTGTCTTTTCACTTTCTTTATCGTATCTTTAGAAAAACAAAGGTTTTTAATTTTGACGAAGTTAATTTCTCAATTTTTTATTTCCTGTGCTCTTGGTGTCACATCTAAGAAGTCTTTGCCTAACCCTGCCACAGTTTAGAACTGACTTTCCCGCAACACACACTTACCAGCATGTCTTAGCTACCTTTCTACTTTAGTAAACACAAATCTGCATCATCCTTCAGAGCTTTGGTTTCTGGACAGAGGGGAGAGAAGTAAGGAGACGACAGAACCAGGCTACTCAAAATAGCCTGGGATGACTCCATTCAACCTTAGGTCCTTCCTCCTTCCCTTTTGGACTATCTTGTTCTGGTACCTTCTCTGTAGTATGTGAATAAAAACTTTATTAGGCTGTTAACTTCGCAACATTTTATGTTTTACTACTTTGGTCGCACAGATTCCTAGCCCCAAATTTTCTGTAGGATTAATCCCCTCCATCCCAGATTCTAGCAATGGGATGCTTATAAGAAATAGGTGACCCCCTGTAATTTGGGGTTTGACAGCTGCTGCTTCTGGAGTTCACTTCATTCTCTAAAACTGCTTTAGGAATGACTCAGCTCTAGTTAATGTATGAAAATGTAAATGTGGAAAAAGGGAAACAGTAGATAAAAGCAACTGGCATGCATGCTATAATAGAAGACCTAGGGATATTCCTGAACAAAATAGTCGTTGTCATTTAGCAGGTGCCTGAATGATCTGAATGCATCCTGGCCTCTGTCAGGATCAAAGCTACACTGGCTTAATCAGTAGGATGTGAGATATTGTATAAAGCTAGAAGCTTCTTCAGGAAATCATTTTCAGACAGAAAACCCTAATGGAGAAACTCCTGGCCAATGGAAAGAGTGAGGGAGGCCTCCAAATAGGATTGGGAAAGGGAGATGAGAAGATTTCAGAGCTCAGTGCTGAAAATGTGGATCTGCTGAAAAGAGAGGGTTACTGGATGACCATTTCGATGAGAAGACACAAGTGTAGCTGCCATCCTTTGGAGGCCTCAGCCCCAGCATTGAGTCCCAAAATTTGGAACCTGGGTACTAACGCTGGGGAAAAGGCAGGGGAGTTGGGGAGAAATGTAAAGCAGCCCCCTGGCTGGACATTGGCCATTGCAAGGTTAGGGAAGTGGCTGAGCAGAGAAGCATGTAAATATCTTGCCCAGAGGAGCTCCTCCTTGCAGATAGGTAACCACATTAGGGTGAAAAGTGCAAAGGGAGATCATTGGAAGCCTTTAAGGTGCAGACTTAGGTCTTAAAGATTTGTTTTTCACATGGAAAACAATACCAAGCCACTGCAGGTGCCAGCTGCTGTGCTCATGGAATACACTGTAAGACTAAGAAATTCAGAGACCGGCCAGAAGCTACTGCAGAGAGATACGACAAAGGCTGGCCTTAAAGGGACGCATGGGTGTGTAGGAAAAAATGATCCGCAGGCCTTAGGGCTGGATTTGCTGTGTGAGTGCAGGGAGAGAAGACAATATGGTTGGGTGTGAGTGTGTGTGGAGGGGAAGGCTGTAAGATGACTGAGGGATTCTTGTAAGTATAATTATACTATATATTTAATTATATATACTATATATTTATATATAGTACAATATATATTTATATTATATATATACTATATATTTATATTTATATATAGTATATATATATATAATAATACATATATATTGAAATACACAAATCTGAAGTGTGGAGTGAATTTTGACGTATGCCCTGTCCTTCCCCAACAGAGGTTTTTTAAAGGCTGAGTTTCTCTCGTGTGCAGCTCTAAGTTGAAGCTGCCTGAAAGGAAAGAAGCTATAGGCACCTGAAGTGCAAATCAAGGGCTGGGATACATATTTGAAAGTTATCTGTACCTAGCGTGTAGAAATCGAGCAAATAAACACAGGTACAGGACAGTACAGTACAGGTACAAGCACAGTTCTTTCTGGAGAACAGAATAGCCCAATTTTTGGTGCATTTGAGCCCCCCACACTGCGGCTCTTATTTGCTGATACAAGTGCAGAAACTTCTCTTTCCTCAGGCCTTCAACTTTATATTTAATTCTCTTAAGTGAGATACAAGCTATTTTTCCAGCTGGCTTCTGCCAGCGTCTGCCCCAGCAAACTTGCAGAATGCTGTCCCTGGGGGGAAGGGAGCTAGAGAATCCTACAGGGTGGTCCGCATTCCCTTCAAACAGCATGCAACACTATGATGCAGGATACATTCTTTCATCTTCCTCGTGTAACGTGCTCTGGCGGCCCAGCCTCTGCCGGCACCTCGGAGTACAGGGTATCACACTACCTCCGGGCACTGTGTACCTCTCCCTGTTTGCAGCGGCCCTGCAGGTTTGCAGCAGGTGCAAGCTTGCGTGCAGCAGGAGCGCCTAGGCTGGAGTTGGGGGACGGCGGGCGTGGCCGCCTTCCCTCCACCCAGGCAGTCCCGGGAACGTTCTGAAAAGTATCCAAAAGTTCTGCGCTGCGCGCGCGCGCGCGCCAAAAAAAAGCACAACCCCCACCGCTCAGGGCGGTGCGCCACCCGACCTCGCCGCTCGAGCTGCACCGCCGGCTGTAGAGCACACGACTCCTGCGCCCCCTCGCCAGGAGCCTCGCCCTGGAGTTGGCTGCGTGCTTCCTTTGCAGCCATTTCCACACCGGAGAAGAAGGCGGGAGTCCTTGCGCTTCTTGGGGCACCATGCCCAACGACGACACATTTAGGAAGCCCTCGGTACCGTCGGAGGCCCCGCACGTTCCCGGGGCACAGATGCAGAGCAAGGCCGAGGGCTTCGGCAAAACAGCGGGGATGCTGCTGGGGAGCGCCGGCGGCTCAGGCTCCGAGGGCGGCGTCGGCGTCTCGGGTTCCGGGGCGTCGGGCATGGGCGCCACGAGCAAGAAGTCCCCGCGGCTGCCCAAGTGCGCGCGATGCAGAAACCACGGCTACGCGTCGCCGCTCAAGGGCCACAAGCGCTTTTGCATGTGGCGGGACTGCCAGTGTAAGAAGTGCAACCTGATCGCCGAGAGACAGCGCGTGATGGCCGCGCAGGTGAGCGCGGGCGTGCGGGAACCGGGGTTCAGTCCCGAAGTTTTTGGATAAAGTCCACGCGGGGCCAGGGTTCGGGAGGTTGGGGGGCGGCGGTGCTTGCGGACGGCCGCGGGGCGCTCGTGGGGGGGGGGCGCCCGGGGCTCACGGCCACGCGCCGACGCCACGCTCGGAGCGCCTGATTCGGCTCATCCCGCCCGCCGCGCCTGGAGGTGCGGGGTTTGCTCGTTCCGGAGGCTCGGGGATTCTTGATCCTCACTCCCGCAAAGTTGTGGGGTTCGTTCTTTCGGGAGTCCGCAGGATCTCAGATCCCGCCTTCAGAGTGGAGATTTGACGGGTTCGCTGGAGTCCCGGGATCCCTGAACCCATCCTCCTGAAGAGTGCAGAGTTCACTTTGTTGTGGGAGGGTCCCCGTAATCTTCGATCCAGCGCTCCTAAGAGAACTAAGGGGTTCGCCCCTTCGGGGGTTCCCGGGATCTTCCGCGCCCCCCAGCAGAAAGTTGCGGGGTTTGCCTTTTTGGGGGTCCTCAGGATTTCTGATCTCGCTCTCTGAGCGGAGAGTTGGGGGGTTAGAGTTCCCCGAGGGCCCCAGACTCCGCCCCTGAGCGAAGAGTTGCGCTTAAATTAGGGAGGGTGCGGGCGCGGACTGCTCCTGAGCGCTGAACCGAGACCCCGCCGGGGGGCGTCTCTTCTGGCTCATCCGGGGATCGTGTCGGGAGGCTTTGCGTTCTGGAAAGGTTTCTAATGGAAGCCGACGTGGCGTGGTCCTCGCCGTGCCCTTGGCGCACTTTTCGTTTTCGTTCCCAGCAGGTCCAGGCCGAGCGTCTCAGCCATTTTGAGCGCATCGGAAATTTTATTAGCATTTTAAACTTTGCTTCACTACCGAAGTTATTCGAGTACAAATTACTCTGAGTATGTTTTAAAGCCTACTTAAGGAATTGAAAAAATAAAAAAACATGCGCAGCGGAGAAAATGCAGGGATTATTTTTGTCGGTAATTTTTTTTAAGCGTTATAAACAGGACAGTAATTTAACATCTTAACGGAAATAGTTAACGTCGTTAGTACACGTAAAGAATTTTGGGAGGACAATAATATACATTTTTTCCAGCTAAAAGTTCTTTCGTCCTCTAAAGACAGGTTATTTAAAATGAAAAGATACCAAATTAATGTTTACTAAAGAAGTGCGACTTTTGATGAGGAATGTGTAAATGTCCATTGAAAGTGGTTTAGATGAGGGCGTTGAACATGCACAAATACTTTAAGATTATACTTCTGATATACTGCCCATTTTTAAAAAATGTTTTAAGCTAGATACCTTTTGCCTTCACAGATTTCGAGTACAGTCATGAAAATTGAAAGTAGAGGTTCTTTTCCCCTTAGTTTCTTAATAGATTTTTAGCCTAATCTATAAAGTATGAGAAAAATACAGGGATGTAGCATTAACGTGCATCACAGTGAGCTTACTGAAAAAAGAAACTGGTGGGCATTTAATTGCATTTGTAGGCAGAAAATATTCTGAACTTCGAGTTGTTGGCTTAAATATTTAGTGTGGAGAGTTTGCTTGGGATGGGGGGAGGTTTTCCTTAAAATGTAGTAAAACATTTATCCAAGTGGGACTGTTAACTTTGAATAAGCTTTATTAGTAGGGGAACTGACTTCGAGAAAGGCTGTTTGCTGTGTTAAAAACAAAAGCAACTCAGGATTTCTTTTATAATATGATACTTCAGTATTTTTCACACCAGAAGGCTTGTGCTGTGCTAGGTGAGATAATTTAAGATCCATGTAATGGCCTTTTTGTAGTTTTTCTAAAATAGTTTGAAATTGATCTTAAATGTGACTCTAAAATAATTGCATTTTTCATCAATTTGCCAGTTTAAATAACCTTTCTTAAGATTTAAATAACATAACCTTTCCTGTTTAAATAACATTTCTTAAGACTCCTTGAGAGGTCTTTGTAAAAGTGTCTTCTGTTTATGCAGTATATAATAAATGACATGTGCATTTTGTACATACATGGGATTTGGGTAAATCAGGGTATAAGTATGCATTGACATTTTGTGGGTATTTTTTAAAAATTAGTATTTCTGGTCAAATCCTTAACGTTCTGTTTCTAAACTTCTAAATTTGGTTAAGATTCCTCTTGTTAGGGTAAAATTACTTCCAAATTAATCAGCTTTCTAACTTTGGACTATAGTTTTCCTAAAACAAATTAACTGTAGCTGTGTTTTTGATTTATCATTTTGATTTCAACTTTTGGCTTATATTTGGCCCTCTGAGGTACAGGTACTTAACTTTCTCATTTCACTATCACTGATAGTCCATTTCAACAGACTTTTTTGTAACATGTAGTAAGCAAAAACACTTTTCTTTACACCTCTTTTTTTCTATCTTTAACAATGTGATTTAAAAGAAGATAAATTGAAGAGGGATCATGAGGAGTTTCTTAGGTATATCAGGTCCTTTTAAATCCCCACTTCCATCTCTTTCCCTCCTGCCTGGAATGTCACACCTGTCCCCTCCCTGTCTGTCCACTTCCAGCCTCTCCCTTCTTCAGGGACTTCAGCACCACATACCAGCACCTTTCCCCCATTACTTCTCTGCGTGCTCCCTGCACCCGGACAACAGGGCGCTGCAGGTCTTCCTAAGCAGCCCCTGCCTTTCCTGTCTACCTTGATGCCTCCTTGGATGGTGTTCTGAACCCTCATCTTTGCCTGTCCATGTCATCCTCATCCTGTTCTTCAAGGCCCTATTACCACACCAGCTCCGCTGACTGTCACACTTAGAGCCGTCTCGGCCTCAGTGTCTTCTGTAGGGCTGGCGGGTACCTCTCCTGTGGTGGTCACTGCTTTTTGTCTTAAGTTACAGTTGGGTGTTTGCCTGCCCCCTGTTGCTCCTTTTAAACAGGGGGACATCTTGGGATCTGATCTAATCTCAATGTATCTTGCTGGTCACTGTCCTGGTACAGTGGCTTTTTACAAATTTGTAGAATGAGGGAGTGAGTGAACTCATTCTCCTTCCTTATCAGTATCAATGCTCACTACTTCTACCCTTTATTTATGCAACTCCTATGCTTGGGTGCTTAGAGTTTTTCTGGATCCTCTGGAACCAGCCGGATTTCTTGCTATTCTCCATATTCATTTGTTTAATGCACGTGTTGTGAGCACCCACTGGGAGCCAGACACCCTTACTCTGACCCATTTCTCAGCGTTGGCTGCACATCACAGTTGCCTGGGGAGCTTTTAAAAGAAACCAGAGATTCTCAGAACTAACTCCTGGAGCTCAGGAATCATGAGCTGGAGAGGGCTGGGCTTCAGTGCTTTGGGCAAAGCTACGCAAATGCACCAGTGTTTCTGGAGTGCTGGAGAATGACTAGCTGCCCTGTGCTTCCAGGTGGCCCTGAGAAGGCAGCAGGCCCAGGAGGAGGAGCTGGGAATCAGCCATCCCATCCTGCTGCCCAGCACAGCTGAGCTGCTTGTCAAGAGAGAGAACAATAGCAGCACCCAGTGCCTGATGACTGAGAACAACGGCTCCTCACAGGCCCTACCCGCCAGCGCTCCCACCACAGCAGCTTCAGGTTAGCCAGGGGGTGGGGGGCAAGGGGAGCAGGGGTTCATGTGGTGGCTGGCCCTGACGAAGGAGAAGGGCCAGTGGCCCCAAAAAGCAGATTCTCAGGCCTTGTCCTGATCCATGTGTCCTGTTTAGAGAACAGGGTCCTCATAAAGGATTCTCTCCCTGACGGTCTGTGTTTGGCTGCCTCACAGAGTCAATTGGCCATAAATTCTAGAATTGGAAGTTCAACAACTTCCCTTTCCTGTTGGTTATTAGCCAGGCTCAATCTGGACAGAGTCAGAATCACAGAATGTCAGAGGAGTGAGATTCCAGATTTCATCTCAGTCTGCCCCTCCATTTGGGGTCCTTTCAGTGGGTGCTTATAGATCCTTGTGTCCTGAAACTGGAAGTCCATTTCTCTGGCAAGGACTGCAGTCCGTTTTGCGGAAGTGTTTGAAAAGGGTAAATCCCAGTTGTCAGTGTCAGTGGGCACTGGGAAGTGTGAGGTAAGGCACGTCCCATTGGCTTAAACTCTCTCCCATGGGTGTATACTTATTCGTTTTATTCTCAGAAGGAGGTGTTAATCCTACTGACACATGTGAAAACCGAAGTGTAGGATGTTTAAGCGACTGGCTAACTCTACAGAGCTAAAAAAAATATCTGTAGTGGTCCCCCTGCATCCAGTGCTCACTGTGCTGACTCCACCAGGTCTCCAAATGACCTCAAGATTCATGATGGATTAGAAGCTGCACTGTCCAATATGTGAGCCCCTAGCCACCTGTGGCTATTTAAATTTAGCTTAATTACTAGAAAAATTAAAACATTCTTCTAAGAGGATAGGCAAATGGCCAATGAACCCATGAAAAATGCTAGACATCACCAATCGTTAGGGAAATGTAAATGAAAACTTCAGTGAAATACCACTGCCCACCCATTAGGAGAGCTACATTGAACAAACAGAAAATAGCAATATTGGCAAGGATGTGGAGGAATTAAAACTTGGTGTGAACTGTTGAGGGGAATGGAAAATCGTACAGCTGCTATGGAAAGCAGTATAGTGGTTTCTCAGAATTTATAAATAGAATTACCATATGATCCAGCAGTCCCACTTCTGGGTGTATCACCTGAAGAATTAAGCAGTGTCTCAAAGATTTGTACACCCATGTTCATAGCAGCATTACTTATAACAGGTAAAACGTGGAAGCAACCCAGGTGTCCAACAACATAAGAATGGATAAGCAAAATGTGCATACATACACACACACACATGGACACATATATGTGTGTGTGTGTATAATGGAATATTATTCAGCCTTAAAAAGGAAGGAAATTCTGACACATGCCAGAACATGGATGAGCTTTGAGGACATTTTGCTAAGTGAAAAAAGTCAGTCACAAAAGACTTATCTGTAATTCCACTTATACACTTAGAGTAGTCAAAATCATGGAGACAGGAGGTTGTAATGGTGGTTGTCTGGGGCCAGGTGATGGGGCATGAGATGTTGTTATTTAATGAGCATGAAGTTTGTTTTACAGGATGAAAAGACCTCTGGACATGGTTGATGGTAATGGTTGTTCATCGTTAGGAATATTTAATACCACTAAACTGTGCACTTAAAAATGGTTAAGATGGTAAATTCTGTGTATACTTTGCTACAAAAAAATTTTAAAAACTCAGTGGGTCCGCTGCATTAGCCTCATACCAAGTGCTCACTAGGCACATACAGCCAAGCCCTACCGCATTAGAGAACGTGCCTTTCCATTTCTCACCGAGTCCCATTTGAGGGTGCTGCTCTTGGATGCAGAAAAAATTTAGCTTAATTACTAGAAAAATTAAAACATTCTTCTAAGAGGATAGGCAAATGGCCAATGAACCCATGAAAAATGCTAGACATCACCAATCGTTAGGGAAATGTAAATGAAAACTTCAGTGAAATACCACTGCCCACCCATTAGGAGAGCTACATTGAACAAACAGAAAATAGCAATATTGGCAAGGATGTGGAGGAATTAAAACTTGGTGTGAACTGTTGAGGGGAATGGAAAATCGTACAGCTGCTATGGAAAGCAGTATAGTGGTTTCTCAGAATTTATAAATAGAATTACCATATGATCCAGCAGTCCCACTTCTGGGTGTATCACCTGAAGAATTAAGCAGTGTCTCAAAGATTTGTACACCCATGTTCATAGCAGCATTACTTATAACAGGTAAAACGTGGAAGCAACCCAGGTGTCCAACAACATAAGAATGGATAAGCAAAATGTGCATACATACACACACACACATGGACACATATATGTGTGTGTGTGTATAATGGAATATTATTCAGCCTTAAAAAGGAAGGAAATTCTGACACATGCCAGAACATGGATGAGCTTTGAGGACATTTTGCTAAGTGAAAAAAGTCAGTCACAAAAGACTTATCTGTAATTCCACTTATACACTTAGAGTAGTCAAAATCATGGAGACAGGAGGTTGTAATGGTGGTTGTCTGGGGCCAGGTGATGGGGCATGAGATGTTGTTATTTAATGAGCATGAAGTTTGTTTTACAGGATGAAAAGACCTCTGGACATGGTTGATGGTAATGGTTGTTCATCGTTAGGAATATTTAATACCACTAAACTGTGCACTTAAAAATGGTTAAGATGGTAAATTCTGTGTATACTTTGCTACAAAAAAATTTTAAAAACTCAGTGGGTCCGCTGCATTAGCCTCATACCAAGTGCTCACTAGGCACATACAGCCAAGCCCTACCGCATTAGAGAACGTGCCTTTCCATTTCTCACCGAGTCCCATTTGAGGGTGCTGCTCTTGGATGCAGAAGCTCTAACAAATCCACCAAACACAGATCTGTGAAATCCTGTTGGCAAAAAAATACATGTATTACATATTAAATAAATATGCTGAGATTCACAGCATGTCTTCAGGGTCTGCTAAGGCTCCACAAAACATAGCCTTGCAGTGAAGTACCTCTTTTAAGTAAGCTTTTCACTAGTTCCTTAGTTTTTTGTACTTAACCACTGGGCTAAAGTTGCTTAGCTGCCTGCCATTAACTAGCTGTGCAACTTTGAACAAGTCACTTGAGCTCTCTGGGCCTTTTGTTCCCTCTTGTGATAAATGAGGGAGGAGGGCTTTGAGGGTTTTGAAGATTCTGTGAGTCTTGATGATTTATAAAGAAAGAGAAGGTAAGCAGGCACCAAAGAAAGCAGGTGGGAGGTGGATCCAGCATCTCTAAGTGGCAAGTGGGCGTGTCTGTGTCTGTGACCTGTGAATGTGACTGGGGCTAGAGAGTCTGTAGTTGACAAAGGAAGCAGTACTGTTGTATGTTTTTGACTTCATTGCTCATTTTATATGTGTATATATATATACATATAAAAAATATATATATATTTAAAGCAATTTCCAAACTCCTTTTCAAAGGAAGGAAGGAGTAGGTCTATCAGAAATATTACAGTCAATCTAAAGCCTAAAGTTAATTACCAAATAGTACTGGGTGAGGATGGGAATGGGGGTGTGTCAGGACTACAAAAGCACATTCAACAAAGGAGTAAAGAAAAAAACTCATTTGATGTTCACAAACATCTTAGGAGATGGGAATTATTATTCCCATTTATAGGTATGGAAACCAATGATATGGGAACTGCTTCAGAAGAAAGCTGAGTTGAGTTGGGACTCAGTCCAGGCCTGTCCAGTCCCAAAGTCCATGGATTTTCTATTTCACCTGCCTTTAGAAGAGAGGCTGTGAAAACAGTTGCCATGTTTCCTTGGAAAATGGACAGCTGTGATTAGAGGCCATGTGTCTTGGCTATATGCGCCAAATCTTCAGAAGGGATTTAGGGCTAATGGGCAAATAGGAACAGTGTTAGGGGAAAAGTTCCTGCCATTCTCTATGAATCTAGCCTGCTGTCCGGGATTCCAGCTTAGCAGAAGTTAAGTCAGAGTTTGTATGTGTACCCCAAGGTAAGGGAGATTTAAGAAGGATTTCAGGCTAGGTAGAGTTCAGAATGACAGGTTCTCACAGGGTCTTTCAGAGTGCTATAGGAAAAGATACAAATAAAAGCAATGGGAGAGCAGGATGGAAGGTTCAGGGTCAAGGAGAATGTGATCAGATCTCCTTCTTTGCCTCTGGAGCTGATAGACCCTGGAGTCATTTGGGAGTCTTGAACCACACTCAGGGGGATGTGGAAGCCAGCAGCGTGTTGTGCTCAGGTGGAGGTGAGGAGGTATTGTTGTGGAGGTCTACCTGCCAAAGGAAAGTGGGCTCTCCGCTAGCCAGCTCAGCTCTGGGGCAGGGACTCGGATGTGTCGTCTCACTCACAGGAGTTCTGTCAAAGCTCTTGACTTGGGCTTGATAACTTCTGCCCTGGGCTGGGGTGTGAACAAGAGACAAACAAACGCTAGTAGAATTAAAATATGATTAAAAACATAAATAAATATAGAGAGGAAGAAAGAAAGAGGAGGAACCAGAGAAAGGGGAGGAAGGGAGTGAGGGGGAGAGAGAGAACCAGACAGAGACTGAAGAGTGTCCCTCAAGTTTAATGGCGCACATGGGACTGACTTTGTACGTGGCTCGCTGCTAACAAATATATAGCCTAAATTTCCAGAGATTAGGATTTATTTGAAATGACATCTAACTTAACAAATAAATGGTAAACATTTATGGAGTAAAAAAGCATATTCATTGAAAGGTCATTGTTTTCCAGTCCAAACCTGGAGGTCTCTTCTGTTTGTCATTTTAGGGTTACTCTCTGTATGTACACGCTTATGTGTCTGTTTACCTTTTTAATGTATATGTGCATATAATTTTTATATTTAACATAATGGGAATGTATTGTTCCCACTTGTGTGTAATTAGTTTTTTTTTTCTCTTTCATTTAAAACCTCTCGGAATTTTGTAATGGCCTGGTATTCCATTCTATAGATGTGGAAGACTAGGATTTGAAATGATTTATGGAGAGATGAGGGGTAGGTGCTACTGAGGAATGGCAAAAACTACCAGCCTGGCTCATGTGGGGACAAGTGG